GGCAAGATAGGGACTCCTACCACAGTCAGTCTGAGAGGCAAGGTAGGGACTTCCACCATGGTCAGTCTGAGAAGCAAGATAGGACCTCCCACCACAGTCAGTCTGAGAGGCAAGATAGGACCTCCCACCACAGTCAGTCTGAGAGGCAAGATGAGGATTACAGCTTTGATCAGTCAGAAAGAGAAGATCAAGACTCCAGCTCTGGTAAAGGACTGAGTCATCCTAATAGGCAAGGATATATCTTTGCCTTAAATCAGTGTGAGAAACCTGATTTAGTTCAGGATTCTCGTTATGGCCAGTATGAAAGGTGTGGGCACCAATCCAGCTATGGCCAGTCTGGAAGACATGGACAAGACTCTTGCTCTAGCCATACTAATCAACAGGAATCAAGTTTTTATTATGGACAGTCTCAGAGGATTGACCAGGAATTAGGCTGTAGTCAGAGAGATAGGCAAAGACTGGATTCTCACTGTGGTCAGGCAAAAAGACAAGGCCAGACCTCTCACTATGGACAGACAGACAGACAAGGTCAGACCTCTCACTACAGTCAGACAGACAGACAAGGTCAGACCTCTCACTATGGTCACACAGACAGACAAGGCCAGACCTCTCTCTATGGACAGAAAGACAGACAAGGTCAGACCTCTCACTATGGACAGACAGACAGACAAGGCCAGACCTCTCACTATGGTCAGACAGACAGACAAGGTCAGACCTCTCACTGTAGACAGACAGACAGACAAGGTCAGACCTCTCACTACGGTCAGACAGACAGACAAGGTCAGACCTCTCACTACGGTCAGACAGACAGACCAGGTCAGACCTCTCATTACGGACAGACAGACAGACAAGGTCAGACCTCTCACTACGGACAGACAGACAGACAAGGCCAGACCTCTCACTGTGGTCAGAAAGACAGACAAGGTCAGACCTCTCACTACGGACAGACAGACAGACCAGGTCAGACCTCTCACTATGGTCAGACAGACAGACAAGGCCAGACCTCTCACTACGGTCAGACAGACAGACAAGATCAGACTTCTCACTATGGTCAGACAGACAGACAAGGCCAGACCCCTCACTATGGTCAGACAGACAGACAAGGCCAGACCCCTCACTATGGTCAGACAGACAGACAAGGCCAGACCCCTCACTATGGACAGACAGACAGACAAGGCCAGATCTCCCAGTATGGTCAGACAGATAGACAAGGCCAGAGTTCCCCCTGTGGCCAGTCACAGATGAGGGAAACTGAAATGCAAAAGCAAAGTAGATACTTCAAGGGGACCGAGGGGAAAAGAAGAGACTCTTATGTTGAGCAATCAGGAAGATCAGGGAGACCAAGTCAGCAAACTCCAGGACAGGAAATGTGCCAAAACCAGGGAAAGAGATCCCAGTCTAGGGCTGTGCACCAGGACAGCCACCAGGTGTGGGAACCTGAGGAGGATAGCCAACACCACCAGCATAAACTCTTAGCACAAATCTGGCAAGAAAAGCCACTCTGCCATAAAGAAAGAGATGAGCAATCATGCAGTAGTGAGCAGGGTCACAGACAGGCCCAAACCAGGCCTAGCCATGGCCAGGGGCAAAGCCACTGGGAAGAGAAGGAGCAGAGTCATCAAAGCTGGGGGGGTTACAGCCATAGGGGTCTGGAAAGTCCATGGGACAGGCAAACTCAGGAAGATGAGCAGAAGTATCAGAGGCAAGACAGGCAAACCCACAAAGACCAACAGCAACAAAGGCAAAACTATGAGATAGAGAGGTATGGTGAGTCCCAGGATCAACAATCCCAAGGAACCCAAAGAGGCTGTCCTAACAGTGAAGAATTCCACAAGAATGAGGATGACCAGAGCCAAGGCTTACAGGGAAGACACAGTGAGCCAGCCAGCCATCCAACCCAGAGTGATGGGAGGCCCCAAAGAAGAGAGCAGGGTGTAGATCACCCCACCAAAGCAGCTATGGCTCCCAACCCCCTCTATGACTATGTGCAGGAGCAGAAATCACATCTGTATGAGGCTGTGTGAGCACCAGAGCTAAAGCAACACAAAGGCAAAGATGAAATCTTCGTGTCAAGTTCATCTTTACTTCTGTTTAAGACATTGAAATGTATGTCTTCCCTCTATCTTCTACTCTATCTACCTACAAGGATGTTTTTAAGAACTACTATTCACTTTAGGGTTTTTCAGTTCTTTTGGCAGCAATTCCAGGGTTTTCTGGTTGGGTGAAATCTAAGTGGTAAATAGGGTGAATTAATCAATTTGGGAATTTAAATCATTTCCTGGTTTGCCTTCTGTATAGGTGGAATCTGGTTGGATCATTAAAAAGTAGAATCCTTCTCTCTAAAGTTCAGAAAACAGTAAAGACATTGTAAAGATTTACATTGCAATCAAGGGGAGAACACCTGGGCTTTGGTGAGCGCTTTGGCTCCTGTGGATCAGACATCAGGAATTGCAAGCATCATAGTCCAGACTGGAATGAAATACAATGAGAAGTTACTAGGAGACCCAGGAACCACAGAGGGCCTCTGATGTTGATAACACCTCCTACCCATAGGCATCTACCTCTCATCAGAAGGACTAGACCCATTCCAACTGAATGGCTTTCTAGTTTCCTATCATGTAAAACAGAAAGAAAGCATATGTCTTATGTTTGCAGATTCCAAGGTCAAAATTATTGTCATATCCATAGCTCTCAAAGCTTGAAAATCTTTTAGAAGAAAATGATGTATAGATAATGAAATTATATTCAAATACCCAATAAATGATTGGTGAGCAATGACTTTAATGACCCTTTTCTTTTTTCATTGTGAGATGATGCTATCGTCACTTGTGAATCATTTTCCATAAATAAGCCCTGTTTCTTGATTTCTAAAATTTCTTTGTTACCTCAGTTCCTGAGCACTGAAAAAAACAATAATCAATATGAAACAAATTAAAAAGAGTCAAAATGGAACTTATCTAAATATAATTTCCAGTTCTGCCTCCCCTAACTGAGGAGTCACATTTGACCCTTACCATTTATTTACCACCATATTCAAATGGTCATTAAGTCCTGCCAACTCTACATCCTCCATAACTCTTGACTCTTCTCACATCTTCATCTCCACTGCCTTAATTTCCCTTCTCCTCAGTGACTCCCCAGTGCCTATAGATTAAAGTTCACATTCCTAGGCATGGCACAACAGCTTTTTACTATCTGACCCAGATGATCTGCCCAGAGGCCCCTATTAGGAGCACCCACTATTCCAGCCATGCCAAGGACTTGGCCTTTTCTTAGTACATTGTGGTCAGTCATGAATTCATATCTTTGAATATACCATGCTTTCAGCCTAGGACAATTCCCTGCCATTTTCTACCTGAAAAAACCTAAGTGTCCTCTGGATCCCAAGTAAAACATCATTTCTTTAGAGCACAGTTCCTGGGCATTTCAAACATGGCTATTTTTAAGTTACCACTCATTTGGCCCATACTCTACTATAATTAACTCCTCTGCCAACCTGGGAATAGGACGATATGTTTCTCAACCTTGCATTGCTCTGGACTTAGTGCAGTCATGGTGTCTAGTGATACTCATTAATTATTTTTGGATAAGTGAAAAGATGGAGAAAATAATTCTGGTTTGGAAATAAACTCAACTGAACATTTGTTGGGTATCTACTGTAAATAAAATACAGGAACAGATAAGAAAGACTGAATGAACCACTGCTAAAGCCAGAACCCTAAGAGATAATTCTCTATTGTAATCATTATCTCTTCCTAAACCAAACTCCATCCATAAGTCCTTTTTCTATTTCAAAATGCAAAATAGCCCAAATCTATGATTCTTTTCATCTCTCCTCCTATAATCCCAGTCCAGGCAACTCTCTCTCCTGATGTGGCTCCCTGTCCCTTTCAAAAATGTAAACCACACTATGCAATCCCCTGCTTAAAATTCTCAGTAGTTGCCCTCCACACTGATAATAAAATCCAACTTCCTTCCCAGGTCCTTCCTACAGGATGGGACCCTGCCAGGCCTCATCTTTCACCATCTTCCTCTGCATTCACTGTTTTCCAACCACTCTGGCCTTTCCATGATTCTAGCAGGAAAAGCTGGTTCCCACCAGGACACCTTTGAACCTATTGCTTATTTTGTTCTGAATAGTCTTCTCTTAGATTTTTGTGTAGCTGGCTCCTTATTTCATTCAAGTCTTAGCTAACAAGTAACTTCACAAGATAAGCTTTCTCTAACATTTAATCTAAACAGTATCCCTCGTAGTCACTCTCTATCACATATTCCTCCTTGTTGTTGTATGGTTCTTAGTACTTTTCATATTTGATATCTTATCTTTGTATTATTTGTTCATTGTCTCTTTTCCCCTACCAGAATGTAAGGCCCATAGGATGTTGTTTGTCTCATTTGCTACGGCCTTCTCTGCATCTAGAACAGTAGTTCATCATTGCGCATGCCTAACTAGTAAGTACTGACTGAATGCTCACAGAAGCCTCCATTATCTGGCTTCAGTGTATGTTTCCTCCAGTGTATATTTCCAGTTTCCCAGAATTCCCATAGATTTCAACTTAACTAGATAACTTTGCAGCCTCCATATTGTTGCTTTTACTATTTTTTTGACTTAATTGCTCTTCTGATCTTTAGCTACCCACTCTTCTGACTGGCAGCACCTTCTGAACCTATCATCAATGAAGGGCCTATCACACAACACTGAAGTCATTTTAGAGCCCATCTGTTTCCCACCCAGCAGTAAGGTCTTAGAAAACAAAAACTGTATCTTAGTCATAGTTGTATCTTCACCACCAAGAACAGTGACTGGCCAACTATACAGAAATAAATCTTAATTTACAATTGAAAGACTTACCTTAGGCTCCACTGAGCTTAGGAAAGTTTTATCTCATTAAATTTATTTTCTCATCTGTAAAATGAGATTAAAATTCCAAAGTTTGGGGCAGTGTCTATGGCTCAAAGGAGTAAGGTGCTGACCCCATATGCCAGAGGTGGTGAGTTCAAACCCAGCCTTGGCCAAAAATTGCAAAGAAAAAGAAAGATATTCCAAAGTTTAAAAATCCTGAAGTTGCTTAAAAATAAATTGAGATACTATGCAAAAGTGATTTATAATCTGATATCTTCTTATTTATCTGATATTTATTATTTCTTCCCCTCATTTTATATTTATTATCTTTTCCCCTTTATTACATTCATTTAATAATGTAATATAATAGTGAATATAATAATTCTTATTTTATTAAAAATAATGCCAGGATTATTTGTAATAGATACTTAATAAATAAGTTTCCTCAAGAAAAGTCCATGCCTTATTCTGAATGTCATTGTTTCACCTAGAATACTTCAGATTAGTGTGTAGTGGGTGCTTGCTGAATTAAATTCCACTGAAAGAACTCTTTTACACTGCATCACAGCTCTTTTCCTCCCTGTCTGCTAACATCATTTTATGCCCACTATTCTATTCTATTGAATAGTTAGAATAATGTTGTTCTCCCCCGCCTTCCCTTCCCCCACCACCCAGAGCCAACCTTTCTCTCTCTCAGATTTAACTATGGACCCACCCTTCAAAAAGGCCCATTTAATAGCATTCCTGAGGGGGAGATAGGATCCTTTCAGTACCACCAATACCTTCTGTGAATTACAGAACCCCACATGTTATTACTCTATTTTCTTATTCCTTAGACCCTTTCCCTTTTTCTTCTTCTCCTTAGGAGTACAAATTCAACAATTCCTAACCCTCAACTATTTAAAAGACCAATTAAAAACTTACCTTCTCCAATCCTCCCTCAGTGACAAACCCTTCTTTGCACTGTTAATTTTCATACACCCAGTGTTAGATGACAAAAACTGGAGAGCTGACGCAAAGAACCAGGACAATGATGGAGCAAGATGGTAGACCAGAAGGATCATTCAGCTGAGCTCTCCCAGAATTAGTGGGAAAAAGACAGAACCCAGCTATACCTGGTATAGGGACCTTACCCATAATCATAACTCAGGGAGCACAGTGAGGAGGTGGTGAACTAGATATAGCATATGATCTACAGTGATGGAAATCTGATGAATTAGGCAAGTGATTGCAACTGGCTGGGATCAGCTGGCTCCCCACAGAGGTCCAGGATGGAAGGAAGCCTTTCCAGAGTTTTCAGTTGCTGGGGAAAGCTCTGCATTGGGTGGAAATCTTTGAAGAGTAGCAAACAGATATGAATGCCAGTTGGAGTGGATTTTCCATAGGTTGGGTGACTGGTGAGGCAGCCATACTGAGAACGTCTCAGCTGCCATTGTGGGAAGGTCATGTGAAGGTCTAGCAAGGGCCTAAAGTATGACCATCTTAATTCCCCTTGCCAGGATCAGAACTGAGGGACTCCCACACCCCATGGGAATTGGAGTCAGGGGGCAGTATGAGGCCTACCCCTGAAGGATTCTTGTGAGCCTTAAGATCCCAACCTAGCAGGCTCTGAATCCTAAGAAAACAATCAAGTGATCAGTGAAGACAACTAAGTTTGAATAAGGACCAAAGAGGTTGCTGGGTGTGTTGTCTCCTAAAAAATAATCATAGTGCCACCTGCTATCCCAGTAACACATTGCAACATATTGTCATCAAGAGCAAAGACTTCTGTTTGAAACAAAGTAGGCAGTGAGAAGGAAAAGGAGGACAAGGAGGTGAACAAGAAGAAAGAATACATGTGGGGGAACCAACAGAAAAATTCTGGTAACATGAAAGGCCAAAACAAAGGAACTCCTCCACCATGAGGCAGCTACTGCAGAAGATACTACCTATAACAAATTAATAAACATGACAGAAATGAATTTAAAATGTGGATGATAAAGACAATAAAAGGAACAGATGAAAAAATGGAAAGACAGACCAAAAGTCAGACAAGAGATATGTGGAATATGGAAAGGATAAGGTGGAGCTTAAGGAATTGAAGGCGACAATCGGGGAATGTGAAGATGCAGTAGAAAGTATCAAAAGTAGGTTAGACAATGAAGAAGAAAGAACCTCAGAGCTAGAGGATAAGGTTTTTGA